GATGGATTTATCATTTCGCTGAGCTGTTTGACACGGGGGCCGGCTGCGTGGCAATAGCTGCAGTGCCCTGGGAAGGATCCCTCTGCAAAAGTGTCCCCAGGGTCCTCCTGCCGCTGTCACCAAGGAGGGCAACTGGTGTCAGACGTGACCCTCTGAGGGAGGCTGACCTGAACACGTTCGGTGCAGGCTGAATTCCCTGCCTGGACCCAGCTCTTCCCCTCGCTCCTTCCTGAAAGCGGTGCAGACTGCAGGATGGGAAACCAGCCTTGGCATAGCCGTGTCCTCCAGGGATAGCTGTGAAACCGGGGGCACTTTGGGGGTCCTGTTTCACCCCTAGCCCCAGCCCCATACTCAATGCTCTGTGCCACTGATGTTGGTGCTGAAGGGAAAAGCCACATCTGTAACGTGTGTGACGGAGCTGGGGCACACAGGCAGCGTTTTTTACATCTGAGTGGGAAAATATTGTCTAAACCTCTCTGTGCAGAGGAAGGGGGAATGACCTTGCAGACTCTGATCTCTGTTTGTTGTACCAGGGTTGTTTCAGACCCAGGACTGAATTTTTCTTGCCAGCAAGCCCCAGGCATTGCTACAGCTTCCAGATGTGCAGCATCACCCCAAGAAAGCACTGTGATTCCCTGCATCAAACCATGGCCTCTGCTGAGCACATTTCCCTACCTCTCTGCCTCTTTTCTGGCCAATTTTAGTGTCAAGAGTCCAATTCAGGGCAGGAGCAGAGAACATCTGTGAAAAACGATCCTGCCCCTCAGCAGCCCTAGTGCAAGCGCATTCTCCCAAGCCAGGGTTTAAAAACCAAACCCTGGAGGGGTGATAGCAGGAGCGAGCAGGGAGAAGGGTCTGTCTGGGGCTCACCTTGAAGAGACTCGGTTCCCAGGACTGAAGGTTGGGAGCTTTGTAGATGGGACTTGGCTGGAGACCCTGTGGTCCCTGTGCCATCATTGCTGGAGGGCAGGATCCAGGCAGCTGGCACGGGAAAGCAACATCCACAGGCTGGTGTTGGGAATGGGACCGTCAGTTTGCTGGTTTTAACCGCTTCCTTTTTCTCCTGCTAATGGATGTTTTGCACGTTTCTAGGAGAGAGGGGGGAGATTGAGCAAGGGGGTGCAGATAAGCCTGCAGGGATGGTGGAGTGAAAAGAGCTCCCCAGTCCCCACGTAAAACCAGGACATGGTTGGACTGACTCCATGAAGGTTGTCCTGGTGGGACGTCTCTCTGGGATCACCTCTGGATGCTGAGGACGGGCACACTCAGTGCATGTTGTTGCCGCTCTCTTTCCAGATGCCTTGGTTCAAAGGCTGGAAGGTGGAGCGCAAGGAAGGCAACGCCAGTGGGGTGTCCCTCTTGGAGGCCCTGGACACCATCCTGCCCCCAACCCGCCCCACAGATAAACCCCTGCGCCTGCCCCTCCAGGACGTCTACAAGATCGGAGGTGAGCAAAAGCCTTGCCACTGTCCCTCTTCCCTCTGCTTTAACCGGAGTATTCGTTCCATGGGAATTTGGGAATGACATTTCCAGGTATTGGGAAACTGGAGGGACTGGACTCAAACTTGAGATAACGTTGGGGAGAAGGTTGTTAGCTCCAGGGCAAAGACCCCGTTTGGAGCTGGGCTGTCTGGGGTTGGAGGGCCCGAAGGTGCCCAGGGACCGGAGAGGAGCAGCAGGGGCTCTCCCCAGGAAGTACGTGATGCCAAAACGGCTGCAAATTTGGGTGTCCCAGAGGGCAAGATGGAGGCAGCAAAAACGTGCTGGGGCCCAGAAGAGGGACAAGGCCAGCGGGGAGGGCCACCGGTGAGGCTGGGGGACGGCGGCTTGGCCGCAGTCTGCCCGTGCTTCCCAAATGCTGGTGTCCATCACCGGCACCTCCGTCTGCCGGGCTGGACCACGGTGCCAGCCATGTAGGGAGCATGTCAGTTGGCGCGTCTCCCTTTCCCTCTGGAGCGGTGATGGGGACACTTTTCTGAGCTATAAATACCCCGTGAGCTCTCTGACCTGCTGGCAGCAGCGGGCAGCCCTGCTGATTCCCCGGCTGCTGGATCAGGCAGGGACAACCGTTTCCAGCCCTTTTCCATATTTTTCCAAGGTCGTGTGCACCGCAGGAACCAGGCAGGGATTGAACATGGGGTTTAGCAGGCTTTTTAACGCAGTCTTTTGTATGCAATCAGGATGAAAGGTGATGAGCAGGTCTGTGTCCTCCCCTAGCTCAGCTCAGGGACAGAGACGCCCTGGGATTGGAGGGGGTGGAGGCTGCAGGGTGGATGTGGAGGAGCAGATGGGTCCAGCCAACCTCCCCAACCTCTTTTCAAGGTTGTTTCTCTTAATGATTCTTCACCTGACTCCAAAGGTGACTTTTCCCGAAGTCTCATGATGACACAGGGTGTAAAAGTTCCCCTTCATTTAATTAGCCACCCTCATTCCCTGGCACAGCTGGGCTTCATCCCGTGCTAATGATGTGGCCATCAGGGGTATGGAGCGTGTTGTTGCATGTACGCTGCAACGTGCCCAGTCCTTCACGCAGGAGATGCCACAGCTGCTGCAAAGGAAGAGCTTCCAGGGCACATGGGTTGCTCAGGGCCTTCTGATTCTGGTGTTACTCCTTTTTTACAAAACATGGGGTAGAAAGGACAGACCTGGGGTATTTTTGAAGACCCTAATGTGGATCTTGAAGCTAAAATCTGGGGGGTTTTGCAAGAACTAAACATGGTCTTTGGTGAAAACCACTGGAGATATCTTGCTTTTGCTGCAGCTGGGCTCTGGCCCAGGGATATGCCAAGCAGGTTACATTTTGTTCTGCTCTGTCCTTGTCTCCGCAGGGATCGGCACAGTCCCCGTGGGGCGGGTGGAGACCGGCATCCTGCGGCCTGGCATGGTGGTCACCTTTGCGCCTGTGAACATCACCACTGAGGTGAAGTCCGTGGAGATGCACCACGAGGCCCTGAGCGAGGCTCTGCCCGGGGACAACGTTGGCTTCAACGTGAAGAACGTCTCCGTCAAGGACATCCGCCGCGGGAACGTCTGTGGGGACAGCAAGTCGGACCCGCCGCAGGAGGCAGCGCAGTTCACATCTCAGGTCAGCAGAGCTGGTGGTGCCACCACGCACGGTTTGTCACCATCCACCGGCTCCTGACACTGCTCTGTCCCCCAGGTGATCATCCTGAACCACCCTGGCCAGATCAGCGCCGGCTACTCGCCCGTCATCGACTGCCACACCGCACACATCGCCTGCAAGTTCGCCGAGCTGAAGGAGAAGATCGACCGGCGCTCCGGCAAGAAGCTAGAGGACAACCCCAAGTCCCTGAAATCGGGCGATGCAGCCATCGTGGAGATGATCCCCGGCAAGCCGATGTGTGTGGAGAGCTTCTCCCAGTACCCACCTCTTGGTAAGGGAACGGCTCTTTTGAGGTCTCCTGCAGAGAAGCGTGAAGTCCCTATGACTGTAGAGCTCACACCAGACATGCTGAGCCTCTCCCAGTATCGCCCACCAGTTAGACTGGGGAGGGAGCTGAGCATGTTTGGTTGCTCCCCCATGTGCTGGGGGTGCAAAATCTGATGCATGAACTTTGTGAGGGCCAATGGGGTGGAAAGGGCTTTCTGCTGAGCTGGGTTTCCAAAGGCAGGGCTGGGTTTTCCCTCTGGGAGCAACAGGGCCTTTCCTTCAAAGTTCCTAAACTCTGGTAGTTTCTGAGTGCAGAAATATTTTTCAGCTTTCCCATCTCTGCCCTAAAACACAACTAGTCAGGAGAAGAAAGAGGGAAGTTTGCTCAGCAGAGGACACCTTGTAATGCAGGGAAGTGCCGTGCTTTCCGTGGATGATGTTGCACATCTGGAAGCTTTAGCAATGCCGGGAGCTTGCAGAGAGCAGATGTGATTTAAGTTTAATAAATCGCCATTTAAAGAGAGAGAGGAGCATCAGGCTAGCTTGGCGGTCAGAGCAAGCGTTGGTGGCTCAGGGCTCGTTCCTGCAGGAACCTGCTCCAAGGACAGGGGTAACGCATGGCACGACGAGTGGTGGGTGTAGATCCCACCGTCACTCACCCAGAAGATCTCAGCCTTCGGGAGGGCAACGAAGCTGGTGAAGGGCCTGGAGCACAAGTCTGATGAGGAGCGGCTGAGGGAACTGGGACTGTTTAGCCTGGAGAAGAGGAGGCTGAGGGGAGACCTCATCGCGCTCTACAACTACCTGAAAGGAGGTTGTAGCGAGGTGGGGGTCGGTCTCTTCTGCCAAGTAACCAGCGATAGGACGAGAGGAAACGGCCTCAAGTTGCACCAGGGGAGGTTTAGGCTGGACATTAGGAAAAACTTCTTTACTGAAAGAGTGGTCAGGCCTTGGAACAGGCTGCCCAGGGAAGTGGTGGAGTCACCATCCCTGGAAATATTTAAAAGACGTGTAGATGAGGTGCTTAGGGATATGGTTTAGTGGGCATGGTGGTGTTGGGTTGATGGTTGGACTCTATGATCTTAGAGGTCTTTTCCAACCTTAATGCTTCTATGATTCTATGATTCTCTCCACCCCACAGGCCGCTTCGCTGTCCGTGATATGCGGCAGACCGTGGCCGTGGGCGTCATCAAGAACGTGGAGAAGAAAAGCGGTGGGGCTGGTAAAGTCACCAAGTCTGCCCAGAAGGCCCAGAAGGCTGGCAAATGAATTGTGGGCTCCCAGTGCATTGCGCAGAAACCATCCCTGACACCAGGACGCTGCCACCGTCTCCCCCGGGCGCATGTGTGCACATCAGCTTGTAAGAGTTTATATGTCAACGACTGGATGCTCACCATTAAGGTCCAGTGGAAATTCTTTAAAAGGAAAAGCATGTTCCAGCGTTTGTGAGGCTTCATGTTAATTTTACCAATAAAACTGGTACAACATCCACAGTGGGAAAAAAAAAAACAAACAAAAAACAAAAAAAAAACAAAACCAACCAACAAACCCAAAAGGTGTGGAGCTCTGTGTGTGTGTCTGTCTTTGAGAGGGGCTGGTTGTGATGGGTTTCCTGTAGTCCCACTTAGAGCAGGTGGTGGGGACGGGCACAGGCGGGGCTGGGATGGAAATCTGGAGGCAGCAGGAGAGCTTGGCACCCATGTTCAGGGTGTCACCCAGCGCCCAGCCCCTCCCAGCTCTCGCTCCTCGACCGATGCAGGTGTCTGGTCTGATTCCCCAGCCTAAAGCCGGGGCTGCTCTTACAGCAGCCTGGGTTTTTGATATTGTCCTTAACCTGCTCAACCTTCTAATTATCAGGGCCTTTATTATAATTTTTTCCATGCAAAATAAGCTTAAGTTAACCCTCTAAAGTTATGCCATTTAAAGAGAGAAAATACCATACCCTATGCCTCCTTGAAGGGCTGGCAGGATTGCTTTTATTCTTTTTAATACCCCATCATTTTGGGAGAAGTGGCCAAGGCTGCCTTCTCTCTACACACTTCTTTGCCTCACACACGGCGGATCCTCCAGCCCTTTCCAAACAACATGGCAGGAACTTTTCTCCCCCTGAAGCCATGTGCTGGACCCCAGATGTGACTCAGGACTCCCAAGAAGCCCCAAAACTCATGGTCTTCACCCAGGATGGTGTCTTGGCTCCTATTGCAAACTTGCAGCCTGGGGCAAGGTCTGCACCTCTCCCCACTCCACCCAGTGTCAGCTGTCCCAACCCAAAGGGTTGTGGCTGCCGAGTGTTTAGGACAGACCAAAATGCAAGAGCCGGGTGCTTTGAGGGGGAAAGGGTGGGAGCACCGAGCATGGGGAGGAGCGGGAGGTGGTGCGGCGGGGCAGGGAGGTGGAGGGAGGAGGTAGGAGGGTGCTTCTGGGGACATTTCCAAGGGACATTTCCTCCCTGAAGGTGGGGTTAGCAGCGTGCTGGGGCATCCTGAGGTTGTCCGTGCTCGTGACTTGGCTTTTAGGAGAAGCCACAGCGCCGGGAGCGGACGCCATGCACGGGCTCCGTGAAGGACAGCATCATGCGCGGTCCTTCCCAGGAGAGCTCCAGAGGCACAAGTGTCATTACTGTTTGTGCTGCAGGAGCCCTTAATGATCCTAATTAACACCTGATGCTCTGCAGCTCTCAGTGCCCCCAGGCAGAGCCTCAAGGAGCCGACACCAAGCTGAATTACAGAGAACGCTGCATGAAGCCACCGCCGCCTGCTCCCCCAACACCGTCCCTGTCCCATGCCCCGGTCTGACAGCAGGCAGACACGTACCGGCTCACTGAGCCACCTTCCCCAGAAGTGTGTGCACAGGCCAGCGAGGCTCCTCGTCCCTCTTCTCACCCCCAGCAGCCACCAGCTTCCTCCATAGAAATTGATTTGCTGCCCAAGGTCTTTGCAGCATTTGGGCTCTGTGAAGTGCCGTGTCCTTGGCGTGCCTCAAATTGGAAGGGGATCTGGGGATCCCTCCAGGCACAGCACGACCGCGGGAGAAGGCTGTTTTCCCACTGACAGTTTAATCTCATCTTCCAGCTCCTCCTGCATTTCCCAGCTCCCGAGGCATGTTGTCCTTGAGCCAGAATGGCAGATTTGTGCCCCTTCCTCAGTATTTCCAAGCAGGGCAGGAGAACATCATCATACGCATGTTTTTCCTCCATCCTTAAAAGCAGCAGGAACAGAAACTCCTGTGGGAACATCCCTCCCGTGCTGGGCAGGAACCTCCAGCTCTCTGGTCCCCAGTGGAAGCCAGTTCCTGGCACAGCAGGAGTGGGGACAGTCGTGGGGTCAGGTGGGGGACAGAGAAGAGCAGGTGCAAAGGCTGCACCTGGTCCTCTATAGCTATTTTAAAAGCAAAAACAAGTTTAACAAAACCACAGCTACGTTTCCATAGAAATATGCCAGGGGAGCTGTGAAAGATGCTCTGGGAACGATGCACAAGTGGTGCGGTAATTAATGGCATAGCTGCAGAAAAGGAAAAATATAAAACCCAGAGGATTTAACTCAAACCTGCTCACGGCTCACAGCAGGTCCAAATTTTCAGCCTCATTTCAGTGCGGTTGGTACCGCAGGTAATCTGCAGGATCAGACAGAAGAGGCAGGCCCTGAAGTGAGATGTCTGCAGCTGCAGCATCCCCTGTTTTGGGAAGTTTGGGTCAGGCTCTGTAGAGAGACAGAATTAACAGAAATATTCTAATTTAGATCCACTTCAAAGCATGAGGTTCAAAAAAGAAAATCAAGTATGCTGAATTTCTGGGGATCTCAAATCAAAATCAAATGAAGCCATGACCTGCCTCGCCCCAAACCTTGGGTTTGAAGACTCATTGTGGATCTGGGTTTTGGGATTGGTTCAATGACCCACCACGTGCAAACCATTGCCTGACCCCACAGGGCTTGCAGGCACACTGGGGACGATGCCTCCTTTGGGGCGGGTGACCCATTTTGGGGTTCTACCAAAATTATAAGCAACCCAACATCACCCTGAACTGGGCCACAGATGGCTTTCAGCCAACCTTGCAGTGAACTCAAGTTGATTCGAGAGCCATTGACACTGTGAGAAAGCAGGCGGGTGTTGCGTGGCCCATGGCAGGTGAGATATAGGGCTGTGCTGGTGAGACGCATTTTAAAACACTGACTTCTCCTCCAGTTCCTCCCCATCAGGTGACACCCTGAACATGGCCAAGTGTGCTGGGACCTCACAACCAAGAACCCAGAGGCATTTTTTTCCTAGCAACTTTTTGTTTTTTCATCACTGCCCTCTCTGCAGACGCCGCGGCGGATGCTTCCCCTCCGTAGCAGTCTCAGCGATGCCATCTCGTGGAAAAAAGGACAAAGTCCTTCTGGAGTCGCTGCCAAGGAGAGGAAATCCAGCCCCACGTCCCACCTCTGTGAAGCCTGGCCCTGGCAGGCAGCACATCCATAGCAAAGCGGAGGGTACAGCCTCGGGAGCTGCAAAGTGCTTATTGTTGTTTCTTTGGAGACCAGAGTTTGCAAAGGTGATTATATTACCTGAAATTTAAAGCTCTTGGGGGAAAAATTACTAGAGGTTGCAGGAAAGTCAAAGAGCATCAGGGCTGGCTTGCTCTTGAACAGCCGATCAGCTCTTCAAGAGGGTGTTCGAGAAACCAATGGATCTGGAAGAAAAGGGAAGGAGAAGGAGGTGCAGGGGGGCTGGATGTGGACCAGCATCCAGTTTCCAAAAGAGACATCCAAGGTGCAAGCACACCCCACGCACAGCATAGCACTGATGCCTCGCTGGGGTTTTCTGATGGGGAAGGGAAGACTCCATGAACAGGACCATCCTCCAAGGTGTGAGCGGACACCTCTGCCCGGCCCCAGCCTGGTGCTGGCTGCTCTTGTGGCACCCACTGGAGAAGGAGGAATGAGTAACTTCTCCTTTCCCACCTCCACCCCACAGGCCTCGTGTCTGGCTGTGCGCTGTTAATAATTTAAAGTAAGTTTCCTTAATCCACCAGAGCTGATTGGCTGATTCAGCAGGCACTTTGGGCTCCTCTAAAAAATTTATAAGGCTTTTGCAAGACTACAGGTAGAATCCATGCTGCAGATGCTGAGCTGGGTGAATTCGAGCTACCCGCTGCCCTTCCGCGCTTGGAGGCGAGTTAAAGCATCAGCCGCAACCCCTCATCTGCCTGGGCACGTCCCTGCAGAAACCCGGCACAGGCAGCACATCCCCAGGCAGGCTGCCGGCCTCCGGCACGCCGGTGCGGAGCATTACGTGGTGGCTTGGACATGCAAGAAAGGCTCTCCGGTTAAGGCAGTGCCTTTCCCATTGCTCCCTTCCTCTGTCACCAGTCTCTCAGGATGTTTTGCTGAACCTTAACCCCCCATGGGCAGTGACGTGCCTGTCTCATGTTAACTCAAAAGTCATGATGACATCTGGAGCATTTCAATAGCATTTGAAAACACACCCCATTATGAGGGAAGACCAAGCGGACATCTCCTGACCTTAAAAAGATGCCACCAATTGCCAGGGAGGCCAAGGTGCACTTCCAGTCCCCTGAACACTGGCATCACCAGGGAATGTCACCCAAGTGTGTCCTCCCATTGCCTGCTGGTGATGGAGGTGCTGAACCATCTATGGTAGCGGAGGGAATGATGCAGATGCAGCACAAAGTCCATGATTATGTGACCTCGGAAAGTGGGTTCATCACTGACCAACATCTTTGCCTGGAAGCTGCATCCCAACAGCAGCCGCCTGCCTTCTTGGCAGTTTCACAGCACATTTCACCTTGCAAAGCTGCGCTGCCAGTGGGTAGCTCTCCATCTGACACAGACATAGACCACCGCTGCGCCGGTCCCCAGCCCATGTTGCTGGGCTCGGCCTCTTTCCCAGAGCAGATCTGCACGGTGTGGAGCACCCAGGGCTGAGCAGGCAGGGTTGGGGCTCCCACGCCAGCCTGGGCAGTGCCTGGCCCAGCGGGGCTAAGGAGAGCCACAGGCAGGAGCTTTGTTCTCCCTGAGCTTCTCATCCTCGGGACTGGCTTTCTGTATGGCAAGCTGGTAACACAAAACCCTCGGAGTAAACCTCCGTGGGAAACAGATGGTGGGCCAGATCAGAAGGGGGTAAAAAAGGCTGATCAGGGTAGAGAAGAACCTCCCATGCCTGGGTGGGTTTTATCTCTCCATCCTGCTTCCACCATGCCCCCTTCACAACGTGCATCAGCCACCATTGGCCAAATCCTGCCCCAGAGAGGTACAAATTCAGGGAGGAGGGTAGCAGCAGACCCTGTCCCAGCATTTTGTACCATGTCAAGGACCAAACCTGGGAAGGTTTTACTCATTTCCTTTAGCAGCAGCAGCTCTGGCCAGGGTGATGCACCGTGCCCCATCCTCCTCTTGGCCTGTGCCTTCACCCCCCCTCTCCCTCTGCAAAGATATTGCTGATCTGAAGGAGAAACCCGAGCTGTAACACAGCCCAGGGCTGACACTCCCTCCTG